AAACGGTTGCAAGTGGAAACAGAGTTTAAATAGGAACCATGACAATTGTGTTCTAACGGTCTAACCAAACAATCTGAAACTTGAAAACACTGTAATTGGTATTTGTTCTTTGTTCTAAGGGAACAGACAAAACCCAAAAATAAAGCTACAATGGAGAATAGAAGAGAATTTTTAAAGGAAGTCTATATTGGTCGACAAAATGATTTAACTTGTTTATAATTTTGCTCAACAAAAAGGTTTAAGTTGTTGATCATTTTGAATGCTGGAATTATCTCTTTTTTCTTCCACTCTTCCCAGACTTGTTAGAAGGTCCAGCACCAGCTGCTGATGTTGATGGAGCTTCCTGTTTCTTGTTTCTTCCAGGATGTCTAGGTACAAGTTCTGCAACATGGAGCATAAGCTGCTTTCCTACAATATAACATTATCAAAACCTTAATAATGCACTGAAATGGGAAAAATAAAAAGGTAGTAAAGATTGTTGCAGCAGTGTTCTTCCTGGATGAGGTTTTGCTTTTGAAATTAATGAGAAAAACCATTCAATTTTGTTTCTTTTCCACTCATCTTGCATCTGCCTGAATGGCATATCATGCAAACCTTCCCTGTTAAAAATTCTGAGAAGGATGAGGTGCAGGAATTAGCATTAGAGGATGTAAGTGGGGAAGGAACGGAAAGAAAACTTCAATAGGGATCATGAATTCTCATCAACTTGTTAAGGTAATGTTCCCAAAAACAATGTTAGTAAATAGGAATTATAACCATCCACCTTCAAATGCCTCATCTGTCTAATGTCTTATTTTAGGCATGTCCCATGCAATAGCAAATTAAGTCCTTTAGTCAGCTAAACTTTAACTGCATTGTCTTGGAAGGGACATTACATTTATTGAGGCAGTAGTTATCAAACTCTCACATATGAAGCGTGCTTTAGAGTTAGGGTTACATTGGTCTTAACTGACATGGAATATTACTAGCATTTACAGGGTCTGGAAACTGAATCTAAAGAAATTATAACTATTTGTGCACCCTTGCAACAATTCTGATTTAACAATATAATAATGAAATCCACACATATAATTC